TGTAAATATTGGTGAAATAAATAAAGGCCAAGTGGTTAACGTTGAATAAAGATTTTTAATAAGAAAAGTGCAGTGCATTTTCTACAAACACCCGACAAGTCCTGACGCCCCGGATTCCCATCCCAATTTGGCGCGACCCCTGGTGTCTCTCCCGAGGCACACAACACATCTTTTACTTTACGACAACGTTCTTTTGACACAGCAATCATTTCTGCTTTCGGATTGTATATCTGTTTTAAACGATTATATTCAATAATAGCTTTTTTGTTAGCTATTAATGCTGAAGGATCAAGGTTAATTAAATGCACTCCTTCTAGAGATGTTACTCGCGACAAGGCAACATTTTGACCACAACTAAATAAAGAGTTGCCAATATCCATAACAACACTTTGCAAACTTAATCCTTGGCTTTTATGAATAGTGATGCCATAACTTAAAGATAATAGAAATTGTTTTCGAATCACATACGCTCTATCCAATACCTGAAATTTAGCCGTTACTCTTTCAATTTCATATTCTAAACCTGATGGTAAAAGAAGTTTAATCTTTTCTATGTCATCAGTAGATGTTTCTCGTACAATTAAAATTACTTTAGCAATTGTACCGTTTACAAGACCCAAACTGGCATCGATGTTACGCCGAATCATAACTTTTGCTCCAATTTTAATTGTAATTTGTTTTGAAAGTCCAGCTGTTTGAGAACTATCATCATCGTTATTTGACAATACTTTTAATACTTTCTTTTTTACATATGATGTACAATCAATCGTATCTTCAGCAATTAATAATATTTCTTTGAAAGTAATGCGACTTAACATTGCATTATTAAGGACATCACACATATTACAAGTAGGAAATAAACAAACAGTGTCCGATGATAAACTGTTAATAAAATCACATAATTCATTTAATCTAGATTCGAAAGAATCAGCTTTGAAAGATATTTTTCTACTCTCTAGAATTTTACAATCAGATTTTGTCACTAAACCAATACGAATTCGCGACAATAATTCACGGTATGAATTATCTCCTTGCTGACGCATATTGATTATCAATTCATCAAATTCAAATAATGTAATCCATAAATTAACAGCATTTAAAGAACCAAGATAATTAGCAATTTTTTGATCGGATAAATGTGTAAAGATAAGATCTTCGCGTACAGGAAACAATTGAAGCAAGTCTCCGAATAAAAGAATATGCTTTCGACCAAACCAACCATCATCGTAATCACTAGTATCAAATATCTCAGACAATCGAAGATGAATATATATTAAAGTCAAATTAGATATCATTGACACTTCATCAATTACGTAAAGAAGAACATCTTTAAGATCTGTTCGTAAAACTTTTAATACACAATCAGATAATTGTTTATACTTAGGAGTTTGACCATGTTCAACGGGTAATTGAAGCAATCTATGAACTGTCAAATTATCTATATTAAATGCTGCTATACCAGTAGGTGCTGTTACAGCAGTATCTTTGTTGAGATTTTGTTTTATCCAGCATTTAATAGTCTTGATTAAGAAACTTTTTCCAGTACCACCTTCTCCGCTAACATATAATCGTAATATTGATTTATCGGACTCTACAACATTGGTAACTTTATCAAATACTCGTTTTTGATCCGTATTTAATTTTACTATCATGTCAGATACATCAATTTCTTGAATTGCTCTATCACCAAGATCTTTAAAATCTTGCATTGCTTCACCAGCCTCTATATTTTGAATACCTATTGCATTTTCAGGATCATCCTGAGACTGCTCTTTTTGCAAATCGTCATCTAAGCATTGCTGAACTAACTGTTTTGCAGTTTCAAATGCTTTTTGCAATTCTTCTAATCTTTCATGATATTGCAATGCTTCTACAAGATGCAGTTTTACTTTGTGAAACGATTCGGTAAAGTATCGCATTCATTTTTAAGATCCTCTAATTTTCGCCATGGTTTAAACATAAGCAATAACGCAAAGAAATAATTTTCCGGCTGTGTATTAACATTATATCTAAAATGATTAATAAGATATCCGCGCTGTCGCCGTTTAAGATAACAACCATTACCTATTTTATAATATTCAATAAACTTATTTTTCGGTTTGATCTTTGAGATATCGTACCACTGTGCAAATTCATAAAGAGACGTATTTTCTAATTCGTTTGGTCTATGTGGATAATGATCATCTGTCAAAGATTGATAAAATATATCTGTAGATTCAGGATCAAGAGCTTCAATTTCTTTACGACTTTTTAATTTTCTATATCGTATTTGATTAACATCTAACCATCTGATGGTTGTATTTCGATCAGTTCCATACAAAGGAATACCTAACAATGTATCAGCAGCTTCGAGAGCTCCACATTCTCTATTATTCGTAAATCGCAAAGCAATATTCCAAAGATGACTCGCTAATGATTTGTTTTTGTTATCCTTACTATCAAGAATATTCTCAGATAATTCACTTTTTCCCGCTTTATTCATATATTTAGTAACATACCAGGTTAGCAGCGATGATTTTTCACCAATAAATTGTATATCCATATTACCTTCCCATGCAGTAAGAAGAACAGGATTATAGTCATTTATATTACCTTCATTATCCGTTCGAGGAAGATCGTAAAGTCTACTTTTATGTTTCAATTGTTTTCTACCGGCTATCGAAGTTGCCACATCCCTGATATTCAAAGTTTCAGTAACGGGACGAGGAAATCCAAAACGACATCGACGAATAACTTTACGTCTTACTTTTTTAGAACGAAAACAATAATCATTATGTGTATGTCGCTGATGCGTATCAACACGTCTGTACAACAATGGCGAAATATTTTTATCCGGTATTGTGCAGCTTATATGTTGTGAAATAAATTTGGAAACTTCCTCAATAGTAGATTCACCGAAAATTGGTGCATTTTTAATCCAAATTAATAAGTGAAAATGTTGTATACCTCTACCTTGATATTCTCGTCGCCAGAAATAGTGCGTTACTTCTCCAATTGGATGATCTGTAGACCTAATGAAGTCAAGCATTGCCCGAAACTTATTATCGAGAAACCTGGATGTTGATACTGGATCTCTAACAACGAGTGCGCTAACGCTTAAGGAAGCGTCATGCCATTCATTTACTTCACGAATATATTCACTTAAATTTTCCCACAACCACTCACTTGGACTGAGTGTTAAAAACCATGTCGCAGGTCCATAATGCTGCGTCATACAATTTAAATCGTTTCTCGGTTTACACCAATATTGCTCCGTATTTCGAAGTGTGGCAAATATTGTACTCAAATTAGATTCCAACAATTCTTTCGACATTGCGTCTAGGTATTCTGCAGCTGTATAACGAAGTCGCGGATTAGTTACATTCATTTTATGAAAAATTCCACGACTTAATTGACGCATATTTGCATCGTTCAATAAATAAAATACATATTGTAGATTTAATCTATACTGTGGATGTTTAGATGTCAAACGACATTTAATAAATTCATGATCATGAAGTTTAACTTGTCTAATCTCACGTTGTCCATTAATACCAGAAGAATATAAATCTGGAAAACACATTAAATCTAAATGTTGCTCACGATTGTTCAGAGGCAAGTCCTGAATTTTTAACATTTGATATAAAGCTGTCGCAGTTTTATTTGCTTTCTTTTCATATAAGGGATAGATGGTATATTGTTCGTAATAGCCATCGTTTTCAGCATTAGTCACTTGAGTCAACATTGCTTTCCGTTGACCTTCTAACGTATCATTTTTTATCTCTTCTATCGGATCATTTAATAATTCAGTCTCATCATCAGCTACTTCTGCATTACCTTCTGTCTCATTTAATAATTCAGTCTCATCATCAGCTACTTCTGCATTATCTTCTGTCTCATCTTCCATTTGAAATTCTGAATTTTTTAATTTTGGTAAACGTAAATCATTGTAATCATTTGGCAATATAATATGAGAATATAAAGTATTGTTGCGCTTTAACCACGTTAAAGCGTCAAATACTTTTTTAACATCAACTACCTCTTCCCAAATAATCTTTGATTTTGTCGGGATACCTCTAACTAATATATATAACTCATGATTAATATTTATTGGATCAGTATTAGAACATAATTTATTCAATGTCTCCTGTAACGAAAGTGGTAAATGAAATGTTCTACCTTTAACTTTTGATATCATTTGTCTTTGAGGCAACTTTTTATTAATAACAGTTCCCATTTTAAGGACAGTTTGAAACGCTTTAGCTCTCTGTATAAGAATTTTTTCGAATGTAGGGGAAGACGGGGTATTCTTGGACACACTTTTATTTTGTCCAGAAACTCTAAAAAAAATTGCTTTTTCTCAAAATTTCAAAGCTTGATTTTGTAGTACGATAAATAACCTTTCTTTTGGTACCTGCATATTGACCTAATTGTTAAAATTGTACACTCTGTATCAGTTGGCGCAAAAACCTGGTTTTTGAGATTTTAAAAAATCTCGGGGTATTATTGGACAGTTTTGTAAATCGAAAAAAAATGAAAATTATTGCTGGAAAACGTTTATTTGTTAATGAAAACGAAAGAATATATTATAATGAATAAAATAAAGTGAAATATAACGATGGAAATTATTGAGAATCGCAGTTAAGGCACGTGAAAGTGTTCGGGTTTGCTCCGGCACAACTCAAGTGAACACTTCGATCACAAGCGATACAATGGGCTGTGTTTCGGCGATTTTCTTCCTTGGGCATATTTTTCATGCAAATTATGCAGAAATCAATATCTTCCTCCGCGTCAGTTTTGTTCGGAGACGGTATTTTCTTTTGTGGAGTCTTTGATTTGCCACGGCCTTTTTTCTTCTTTGCTGCTGGTGTGTCGTCTTTCTCCGATAAATTTTGCCGCCTCTTCTCGGCCTTATCACGTTGGTCAGACACATTTTCTGGTGATGTCAAAACAACCGATTTCATTGGCTTACGGCCACGATTTGACTTTTTGGCTGGCGTGCCAAGTTTCAACGGACCTGCCTATTTTAATGCATCGCGGAGCTCTTTGGCCGAAACGACAGAGCTTGTAGATGGTTCAGATGTCGTGACTTCTTCATGTACTGCGGTTGCTATTGCATCGCCAGACACAATGATTCGACGCTGATTATCTTCATCTTCTTCATCATCGTCGCACTCATTTTCGCCGCTCAAATGCGAAGCGATGAAGTCGATTTCCGTGAAGACGTGCGGATCGAATGGGAAAATACCTGTCGCTCTAAATCCAGCCTTGATGTTTTTTGGGGTCACGGCAGTATCTAAGCATTGGTCGACAATGAGTGGCACATGATGCAAATCAAAAACCACGCCGACGTTTGATTTCTTCCAAGTATCATGTTTTATGGTGAACATGGTCTTGAAAGGGCCAAATACCGAAACATCGAGCGGCTGCATACGGTGAGTGCAATGCGGTGGGAATGAGAGCATGGTAATGCCGTGATCCAATGCCAATTCAAGGGTGTCAATCGACAAATGTGATGTGTGATTGTCGAGAAGCAGAAGAGTTGGTGAATCCTTATTCGCGCCGGTGTATTTGATGAAATGCTCCATGTATTTGAGGAATTGATCGGATGTCATCCACCCAGAACCATTTGCGATACCAAGTGCACCTTGTGTTGCATGCGTCATGTACACGTGTTTCATAATTTTTCGTGGAAAGAGGAAAAACGGCGGAATTGATTGTCCCGTAGCGCTGACGGACAATGCCAGAGTCACGTATGCCTCTCTCGGCCGATGTCGATGTGCCCACCCGTTTCTTTCCTTTCGGTGCAATGATTTTCACAGCTTTCGTTGGGACAGTTGGGCATCCACATTCGTCCATGTTCCAAATTCGATGCGCTTCGAACGGTGTGGCATTGAGCACAGACGACAGATTGCTGAAGAAGGCATCGACATTCTCTTTGTTGAAGGACTTCGCACGCTTCTGGCTCACTTGTTCCGGTGTTCGCAATGACAAATTTTGATGACGTTTCATGAAGCTCAATTGCCAATCCGAACTTGCCTCTCCTTTGGCATCCTACGAGTCCGAATACAAAATGCCAATTTTTTTAGCATATTCGTATGCAAGTTTCCGCAGCTCCAACAAACTCAATCCATAGTTAATGTCGCTGGCCTTCAGAATGTATTTTATGAGCGCACCCTCTTGCTCTACATTGAAAATCTGAAATAAAAAAAAATTATAAAAAATAAATAAAAAATAGGTAAAAATAAATTTATTTGTGATTCAATGAAAAAAATTAGATTAAATCAATACAACTCACTGTTTTGCCGGTTGTCGAATGTTCTGTCAGCAAATTCTCCATCACATTAACATTAGCAGTAGCAACGTCAATTTTTGCCTTATCGAAATTCGCAATATGCCAAGCCAATGTGCTTTTCGGAATGTTGTGCGCCTTCGTAGCTTGCCGGATTGAGTTCTTATGGATTTTCACCAACCTAATCGCCTTCAAAATATTGTCATAGTTATTTGATTTCTTTTTTTTGGCATAATAACGCGGCATTCTGTCAAACAATATTTAAACGGACCAAAAAACGATTAGAGATTGTCGAAAAACTAATGCTTTGTTGAAATTATGCATGAAAAATCACTTTTACCCATCAAACACACAAAGTTATGTCGTGAACTGTCAAGAATTAAGTGTCCAATAATACCCCGAACGCTCATTTTTACAACATGTCGGCGTATAAGTAACGCAATGCAAATTACATACAGAAATCTTATATGCGTCGAAAGCTTAAAGTTCAAAGAATATTAGAATATTTATATTTACCTGACTTAATTCGTTGAAAAATGTTGTCAAAATGAACAAACCACTACTTGAAAAAGAAACTTTACAAACATCAAAATTCTGTTTGCTATGATAGCGAGGTAACAATGCGTCAAAACAAGTCAAGTGCTCAATAGAAAATGAGATTATGATAAGACGAGTCGATGCTAGTTGGTGGAGACCTCAAGCGTTACAAACGGGAAAAATATCGCGCTGTCCAACAATACCCCGTGTCCAAAAATACCCCGATTTCCCCTACTATTAAGAGATGATATTACTTCAGGCACCTGATTTGTAAAGAGATTATTTAAGACGCAGTATGCAGGCATTAAGCCTTTACGAAATTTGCCTGCACAATAATTACATATATATTGCGCATCAACTTTTTGTTGTTGTACATACGTCATTAAATCTTTCCAAATTTTAACATGTACTTGTGTCTGAAGACTATTGACTTTAGAAACACTTTTTTTATAACACAATCTCTCGCATGATACGCAAACATGTCGTGGTGTGTCCACAGAGCGTTTAGTCAATGCTTTAAATGCTAAACGATATTTAAACATAATATCATCATTACTCAAAATTGTATCAATCCGTTGATGTCTGTACATATCTACTTTCTCCTGTGCAGAAGTCACAATTTCATTCAAAGTATTCATATCAGCATTATTTAAAGCATTATCTAGATTTTCCAACTTTCGATAAAAATATGTAAGTTGATAAATTAAACGCTTCATATATCTTACTTTTGGAAAATGAGGCGATAATAATTGAACTGAAAGAAACATTCCTTCGCAAAGTGTTATATCAATATAACAGCTACGCGTATGACCCAATTTCTCATTTGAAATTTTCATTGTACATTTATGAATATTTTGCATAAGTTTTGGTACATTTTTTAAAATACATGTATTTACGGTTTCGAGAAACTTCTGATAACGATCAATTAAAAGTGGATCGTTAATTTTACAGCTTGCAGTATTACACATCAGTTTTGGTTCATTGTTTAAGGTACATGTATTTATGGTTTTAAGAGACTTCTGAGAACGGTCAATTAAAAGCGGATTGTTAGTTTTACAGTCTGAAATATTACACGACCAAGATTTTTTAGCTTGTTCTGTTGTCAATGGTAATATGTTTACTACTTTTCCTTTTACATTTATTACCAAAGGTTCCAATGGATTTACATCATGATGATATGTAGACTCAATAAAATAATTTTCAGATGAGGCTGTATGTCTAGATTCGCCACATAGCGCAGTTAATTTGTCTTCGATTGTAGAACAATCTGCGACAAGAGTCAAATACACTTCTGATTTCTTTTTAATCAAACTTAACATTTTGTATATATTGCGAATATAATTTTTCCTAATACACATGCACCAACGTACAATTTTTTCGGCTTCCAATCGTTTCTTAATATGACCTTTAATATTGATTTTGTCAATAATATTTTTTATAAATATTTCTGAACAATTACGAAGTTTTATGGTATTCTTCGACCAGAATTGTTTATACTTTTTAGTAATTTTTTTAGCAATATTGCAAGTTTTTATTTCAAATGTAGATTTTGTTTTGATTTTTTGTCTTTTTGTCTGATAATATCGCTTATTATAAAGCCATTTGCGATTAGGATCCAATCTTTTTTGTCTATCTTGTTCATATTCAAAGTTTTTCGAATAACGCATACGCTTTTGTGCGCGTTTATTTTCTAAATCTTGTTCATATTGATATCGATCTTTAATGCGTTCATCTTCTAAGTTCCGTTGATATCGATTACGCTTTTTAGCGCGATTGTCTTCTAAATTTTGTTTATAACGATCACACTGTTTAGCGCGATTGTCTTCTAAATTTTGTTTATAACGATCACACTGTTTAGCGCGATTGTATTCTAAATTTTGTTTATAACGATCACACTGTTTAGCGCGATTGTATTCTAAATTTTGTTTATAACGATCACATTGTTTAGCGCGATTGTATTCTAAATTTTGTTTATAACGATCACACTGCTTAGCGCGATTATCTTTTAAATTTCGTCTATATCGATTGCGCTGTTTAGCGCGATTGTCTTCTATATTTTGTTTATAACGATCGCATCGTTTAGCGCGTCTATCTTCTAAGCTCTGTTTATACAGATCGTGCTGTTCAATGCAATTATTCTCGGAATCTTGCTCATATAAATCATGTTGTGTAGCCTGATTTTTTTCTAAATCTTGTGAATAGCGTGCACGTTTATTTACACAATGATTTTCCAAGTCATGCTGCTTAGTTTCTTCATAAATATCATTGTTTGTTTTCATTAAATTCTTTGAATTATTTTCCGTTAATTGTAATTGATTATTACTTAACTCTTTTTCAGGTTGGTAAATATGACGTTGCTCTTCTAACCGATTCAAATATTGTTGTTCCGTCTCACATTGACGTATAGTACGTTTACGAGATGCTTCAATCTCTCTTGCTTTTATTACTGCTAATGGAAGCACCTTTTGAGGAGCATATTGTGGATTTTGTGGAAAATGCTCAATAACATTAGATTCAAAAACCTTAATTAAATGCAAACGCATTAAACTGTGATCATATTTTATTTTTTCGGGTTTAATATTGAATAACAATGAAATTGCAAAGGCTATTGCAAAAACCCCGCAATCGCTACCGTTTGGTTGGTATTGTACAGTAGGAAATTTGACACAATTTTTTTCAAAGTTATATCTTGGAAATAATTTTTTCAAGAATTGTTCATGATGTATGTGCAATTTTTTATTATTTAACGAATCATAAATAAATATGTTTTTTGTGTCGTAATAACTACATACCCAATGTCCATCTGATAAATTTGATGAACTATGTAATATCTGTATATGTTTTTTATTTTCTGGTACAGGTTGAATCGTATCAAGGCATTGGATTCGCCATGTTTCGACAGGTTTATAATCTGAATAAATTTGTAAAAAATTATCAAAATGTTCTATATGTATATCTGTTAACCATTCACCTTGGAGAAATATATTTTGTCTCTAAGTGATAAAATTCTATTTTTTTTTGCCTTTACAGACATTTTGTATACAATTTTTGTTTGTGCGTAAACTCAAAATTAATTTTTACTAATTGGGCGCCTCTAGGGCAAGCGAGAATTCAGCGCTGTTGCAGCCGATCTTATTGATTCAACGCTTATGGCAGCTTTTATATACAGCGCCAGAGCAGCCAATTTTTATTGAGAGTGAGAGGGGGGAGGGAATTGTGTGTGTGTGTGTGTGTGATTAGTTTTTATTGACAGAGTGCGAACCTGTAAAATAAAAAGGTAAATATATAATATAATATAATTTAATTTAATAAATAAAATATGTAATATAATATAATTTCATATAATTTAATTAATATATGTAATATAATTTAATTTAATTTAAAATTAATTATTTACTTTATAACTATATTATCTCCTTTGCTATTTAATAAGGTGTTAATATATCGGATCTGTAAAATAAAGGTTAATAAATTTTAAATGTATACTTAAATATCTGCTATATTGTATAACCACAGACTTCTATATAATATACTAGACCGCGAACCTTTTATATATTTAGCCTTTTGATGAACCTAAGTAGAATTCCTCTAGTAAGAATTAAGACACCGGGCTATCAATTGCTGATTGGTTATTTCAATTCGCGATATATGTAATAGCTAAGATGAGTAAGAAACTAAACAGAATAGTTGACATAAGATTTGAGACAACAGACACTATTGTACATTACTATTAATGTTATAGGTCAGCCATTCTGCTTAGAACCTATATATTATATAGAAGTCTGT